GTCCAGCGTCCGGCGATACTAAGTAATAAAGACTGCTCTACATAATTGGCTGTTGTACTGTAACCAAGCTTGCCCGATGCGGCCCAGCCCGATCCGTTATTCCTCCATAACTGCATAGTGGATTCCCCGTTTCCATTGAGCTCATCATCCTCGTAGTGCAATCGTAAAGTGGCGAGTGATATGCCGAAGCTGCCGGTTACACTGATATTATACTGCCGGTTAGTAGCGCCGCCATAAGGGAAGTCGCTGACCGGCGTATTGGTTACCGTCATGGTTATAGAGGAGATGGTATTAAGGCCGGTAATATTCACTGTATTGTCAGGCCCCTCAAAAGCATAAGAGGTCAGGGCTACAAAAGCGTGCGTCCTTTTGATGGTCCCCAGGATGATCCCATTGCCATTCCGCGTATTGGTAATGTTTAGCGTTTGGTTACCGGTATTCATGCCGCCGCTGGTCATATTCAGCGTGGCCACATTGACATCGCTGGCTAGTGTAACTATATTGCCGCTGCCCTTATTAAGCGTCAGGATATTAAAGGTGGCTGCACCGGTGATGCTGGCATCCATCATTCCACTTAGTTGTATCGTGCCGGTACCGGCGGTAAACGTGCCATTGCTTGTCCAGTTGCCGCCCACTGAATGTGTAAAACTGCTTGCACCAAATGTGGTACCCGTGCCAATCGTAAAGTCGCCATTGACCGTAGTGGCTCCGGCTGCCGTTTTCGTATTGCCGTTCGATAGCATCAGGGTGTTGTAAGTGATGGCATTTACATTCTGAGCAACAGTCCCGTTGAACAGAACGGTATTCGGCGTTGCGGATGTTACATCCAGGGTGCCTGCTGTAATGGTCAGTGCATTCGCTATGCCCAATACGGAGCCGGAAGCGAGTCCTAATGAAGTGCCGTTGAGTATTACATTAAACAGGTTGGCCGTTCCATTTAGCCTGGCATTCCCGGCAAACGTAAGGGCGCCTGCACTTGCTGTAAAGGAACCTGTAATATCCAATAACGACGACAGGGAAAAACCAATGGCTGTGGTGACCGTACCGCTAATACCTACAGAATTAAAGGCGATGGTACCGGCGCCACTTATAG